AAATTGGTACTTAAAAATGAAGTGCTATTTTAAAAAAAAGGAAAAAAAAAGATAATTAAAAATGGGTGCAACCGGACTTTCACAGGGAACTGCCAGAGGGTTCAAGCCAGATTCAGACAAGGACATGGAACAAGGGATATAATTGTTGGCATTAGATAGAGCTTGGTGGAAAGCAGAGCATAGCAGAAATATTTGTGTTTTATCAATTACAAAAAGACTTTCAATTGTGCGAATCATGACAAACTATAGACAACATTATAGAGAATGAGTATTCCAAAACAGTTAATTATGTTCTTGAGAAACCTGTACATAGACCAAGAGGCAGTTGTTTGAATAGAATAAGGGAACACTGAATGGTTTTAAATTAGGAAAAGTGTGCACCAGGGTTGTATACTTAACTACACATACTCAGTCTGTATGCTGAGCACATAATTAGAGAAGCTAGATGATATGAAGAAAAAAGTGGCATCAGGTTTGAATGAAGATTCATTAAACTGTGATATGCAAATGGCACAACTGAGGTTTCTGAGGCTATGAATCTTTACGGGAACAGACAGCTTCATCTTTCTCCAGCAGATTGGCTGTTGGGTTGGAAATGACAACTTTGCAGTTAGCAGCCCACTCAGTATCCATTCAGTACCACGTAGGAAAAAAAAAAACCCAAGCATAAATGTATATGTGTATCCTATCAGTTACTGTCAACACTCATTTGAAAAGAAAAACATAGAAATGTCTTTCACTTTTAACTACTGTTATACTACCTGCTCTTATTCATTGAGGAAATACGTTTATACTTGCATGGAATTAGCTCAGTATTTTTGTTTTATGTCACTATAGTTACATCATGAAAGAAGTAATAAATATAATAGTGCATAAAAGAAAATTAAATTAAATTTCAGAATGTATTAACTTGGCACTCTGATGTCCATATAAACTATGAGCCAGTAAACATGGATTTTTGGCCAGTTAGTGAACTATCAAAATAACCATCAATAATATACATAAAAAATTGATAATATAGATACACAGTCAGATTCTGGATAATCTCAAATACTATTATAAGAACTAATGTTATTTAATTCAAATTTAATATTTCTTATGCTAATGCTATTCATGTCCTTTCTTTTCTAGAATTGTACAAGAGGAATTATAATCTAAAGGATGTTGAATTTAATATAAAATAAATGTATAAAAAAGAGCATTACCTTTTCCAAATATCTTTGCACACTGTATATCAATGCTTTGACACCTTCCATTATAACAATATGCCGTTCCCAACATGCACATGTGGCCATTCAGAGCATAAGTGTCAGGAACACAGTTACTAGAGGTTCCATTGCAATACTCTGTAAAATCACACTCTTCATCAATACTTTTTCTACATGGAGTACCTGCTGTTGAAAACTAGAAGGAAACGAGATAAAAATATATGTTCTGGAGAATACTTTTCTGATCAATTACTTCCTGATTGTGAATATTTGAAGGTAGCAGAGTTCCCAATGCTGTGAGTTCTATGAAAGTAAATCGTGAATAGTATTTTTTGTAAGTCTTGAAGAATTTAGCTTTCTTGAAGACAGGAAGGAATCCTTTATGAGTTATCAGATGTCCAACTGCTTTGTAGTCTACATTGGAATGTCATCTAAATCAGTCAGCATGTGGGTTGGGAACTGAATAGATTAAACATCCTTTGAAATTGGGAAGACATAGCCTCTACTTTAATTTATTCTTAGAGACATCCAGGAGCCAGACCGCCTATTTAAAACCCTGGCTCTGACTCATACTGATTTTTCCCGTGGGCAAGACACATACATTCTCTTCTCTGAATTTGTTTTGTATTTAAACTTGTTGTATTGTTGTTAGATGCCATCAAGTCGGTATCTAAATTTAGGAATGTTATATGTCTCTCATAGAGTTTTTTGAGTATTGCATAAAGTACTGCAAAAGATGTTTAGAGCAATACTTAGTACATGGTAACTGTTGTATGAATATGTATTTGTTATCATCATACACTTACAATTACATTTGTCATCTGAGAGCAAAACTGTTTCCTTGCATAGTTTAAATAAATGTTAGTTATTGTCAAAATTTAAAAGTATAACAAAGAATGGAAGTCATAAAGCAATAAAATGACAGAAAAATTAATGAAGAAAATATTTGTAAACTAAAACTATATGTTCTTGTGGCTGTTAGGTGCCATTGAGTCGGTACCGACTCATAACGACCTTATGCACAGCAGAATGAAACACTGCCCGATCTTGGGCCAACTTCACTATCATTGCCACGCTTGAGCCCATTAATGCTGCTCCTTTGCCAATCCATGTCACTGGAGTCTTCCTCTTTTTCTATGACCCTCCACCTTACCAAACATGATATATTTCTCAGAAAAATATCCCTCAAACATAAGGTTGAAATTTTCAGACACATATACTGGGAGAATCTATGTTTTTTTTTCAATCAACCGAACACACTGTAATGTATTTCAAGAGTGTTTTTTTAAGAAAAAAACAACAAAAAACCATCCAGTTGGAAGCTCAGAAATCAAGAATGTAATGAATATCAGTGCAAAGGTAACAGTGGTGGTGGGAGAAATAAAAAAACAAGAATATTAAAATTCGAGAAAATATTTATTGTGTACAACATAACATAAAAATAATGTGAGGCAAATACAGTCAAAGCATCTAAATGTAATAGTGGATATAAGATGCTTCATTTAATTATAATAAAATTTAAATTTGCCTAGGAAACATTTTCTAAATGTGTGTATTTTGTATACATAGCCATGAAATATGTAAAAAAAAAAATAATTAGGGACAAATACTCATACCCATTTATTCAATGAAAACTTTAAAATATCTTTTAATATTGCTCAGCAACTGAAAGAACAAGAACAATATATAGTTCTATAATTTGTTTCTACTTAGAAAATGAAAACAAGGATGAAGGGATGTACATGAATTACATTTATGTGATTGTTATATAAATTGTAATGCCTGTCTTGCAAAAGACTCTATCTCTAAAGAAGCAAACTTCCATATACTGAGATTCCATATAGATAAGAACACATTGTAGGTAACTAAATTTCCTCCTAGTAAGGAAGAAATTGAGACATTCAGTATGTCTACTGCAATGAACTGAACTGAATTCAGCCAATAATCTTGTGATAAAGGGAATGCATCTTTCTCCAGGTGACCCTCAGATATGATCACAAGTTGGAACAACATCTTGATAACAGATATGTAGAGGACTCAGGTAAGATTTGTCTAGACTCCTGACCCAAACAAAGTGTGAGAAATTCAACATATGTTGTTTTAAGATGTTAGATACTGGTAACATTATCAATAATGAAAATACTATTGTTGTTGTTGTCAGGTACCGTTCAGTCGGAATGGACTCATAGCGACCCCATGCACAGCAGAATGAAACAATGTCTGATCCTGGGCCAACCTCATTACCACTGCCACACTTGATGCCATCAATGATGCCACCTGGCCGATCCATCTCATTGGGGGGTCTTCCTCTCTGACCCTCCACCTCACCCAGCAT